GTGTGCGTAAGAGGAAGCTGAAATAGGGCCTGGTTAATCCTGGCTGTCACTGTCACTGGCCTCACATCCTCCAGGAAGTGCTCATAAAGCCATGCAGGAATGCAGATGTGAAAGTGCTATGGGAAGCCTTGGGCCATTATGAGCTATACAGGACACTGGTGGTGAGGATCAACTGGAGAGTTCCTACACATCATTTTTTTCCCTTTTTCTCTTTTTGAAATTATAATTTAATTACAGTATTTCTCCCTTCCCTTTCCTCCCTTCAAATCCTCCATATATCCCCTCACTGCTCTTCCTCAAATCATTGACTCTTTTGTTACTAGTTGCTATTGCATGCATATGTATATGTATGTATATATTCCTAAATATAACCTATTCAGTCCATATAGTGTTACTTGTATGGTGTGTTTGGCACTGGACTACCAATTGGCATGTCCTTCCCAGAGGAAGACCACCTCTCCCACTCCAGCCTTCCTCAGTTGCTTATGGTTGTGTAGGGTTGAGGCTTCCTGGGCTTTTCCCCATCCCGTTAGCATGTCTATGATGTCATCCTTGTTCAACTCATGTTTGCGCATATAATTCCGTGTATTAATATATAGTTTAATTGAACCTTTATCATCTGGGCTGATGGGGTTCCCTCTAAGAGCCAAAAACCCCATAACAAAAACTCAAATACCAGACATAAGAAGCCCTCTTTTGAGTTGTTAGCCAGTGTTGTCCAAGAGTCTTCCAAAACATGTGACCTCTTACTGTTAAACTTGGTTACTCCCCAGAAGTGGAAGGTAGGTCTCCATTGCTGTGTATCTTTTACAGTGTTAGAAAACAGAGATTTGGCCGGGTGGCAGTGGTGCATGCCTTTAATCCCAGCACTTGGGAGGCAGGGCCAGGCGGATCTCTGTGAGTTCGAGGCCAGCATGGTCTACAGAGTGAGATCCAAGACAGGCACCAAAACTACACAGAGAAACCCTATCTTGAAAAAAAGAAAGAAAGAAAGAAAGAAAAAAAGAAAGAAAGAAAGAAAGAAAGAAAGAAAGAAAGAAAGAAAGAAAGAAAGAAAGAAAGAAAGAAAAGAAAGAGATTTGGGTGAGGGAAAAAAAACTGAAACTTGACGCAAAGGTGTCCTCTGGAAGAGAACCCTGAATTAATAATGTGTTATCATTTCACCTGGACCTTTAAATACAGGCAGCAACCAAAGATAAGTCATCTATCTTCTTTGCCATTGGCCTAAACCACAATAGAGGTATGACAGAACTATGTGAAGAAAAGGCAGGGGGGGAAATGAGAGAGGAAAAGCCGTTGCTTTGAGAAGTGCAGCTGTTGGAGCAGAAGGCCGCCTGAAGCAAACACTTGTGGTGAGCAGCCTCCACAGAGAGGGTTTGTTGGCACACAAAGACAGCGGGCGAGTCAGTCACAGCACTGACATGTGCCGCGGCTCCAGGCAATAGACTCAGCATAAAGTTCACACTTAGAAAACGAAGATAATTAGGGGAGCACCCACTTGAAACGCACCACTAAAAAGGGAGGGCCACCATCAGGGCCACAACCATAGCTGTGGGCCTCTTTCCATACCCAACATCCGGTCAGTGTCTTTTTTTGTAACCTCGGAACCCCCTGGAAGACAAATGTGTCTAAGGATACTGTGTTGTTGAACCAGACAGATGTCTTTGACCAGGTTTTGAGCCATAAAGACGGACAAAAATGAACACAATTAGTGCAGGTCTCTTGTCATTTTGAACTACATGAATGGTAGTGTACCTGGGGGATGCACTGAGAACTCATTAAAGGGCTTTGACCAGAGGTGGTATTGATGGCTCAGCAGGTAAGAGGAGCTCTTGCTTCCCTTCCAAGGGACCAGAGTTCGGTTCCTAGCTCCCATTTCAGGTGGCTCACAGTCACCTACAACTCCAGCTCCAGGGATAATCTAACCTCCTCCGCCATTAGCCCATGCACACATACCCTCACCCAAACACACACAAACATGTCGTTAAAAAATAATAAAATAACCGTGCTTCCGTGAGTATATAGATAACACAAATTGGACTTGTTTTTCTGCTGTTGTTTTTGTTTTGTTTTGTTTCTCTCTTTTTTTTTTTCCTTATTTCTATTTTTACTTTTTGAGGGGTCACAAGGGTGGGGGTGGACATGGAAGGACTGGGAAGTGGGTGTGATTGGGGGTGCATGATGTGACATTCCCAGAGAACCAATCAAAATGTTATGTTGGAAGAAAATAATAATAATAAAATAAACTTTAAAAGAGGTTGAGGAATCTGACCTGATTCACCTTTCTGCCCAGAAGTCATTCTGTTCCTTTCCCCAATCCTGAGGGCTGAATCTGGTTTGTCCCACAGTCCCTTTCATCCAGGGAAGATCCAAATGTGTTCACCCACCAGCTAGTGGAAGTGCATGTGGGTGGCAGCCTACCACAGCCTTTGGGTTTTTAAATGGCTTCTCACTTTCAGTGATTTACTTGAAAGAGTAGTCAAACAACTAACCAGCACAGGACAATTACACGATCAGTTCTTGAACTAATTCAAACCTCTGGGGAGGGTTTAATGACAGTCCCAAAGGCCTGAACCTTCAGTGCGGAGAGGTAGGGACGAGACGGAAACTGTAAGGGAGAGCAGAGAGCAAAGATTAAAATAATGATCTCGTCATTGAAACATACAAACAATAACAAGAATTACCCACATGGTTATGGCAAGGCTCCCCTTTTGCAATGTGGATTCCTGGCAGAATGTGAGGGAAACTGGACTCCACTGTCCCAGTTTCCCAAACCAAGGAAATAAAATGTTTCCCAAACTTTTGACTTCTCCCGTTTCCAAGTACTAACCCGGCCTGCCTCTGCTTAGCTTCCTAAGCATAGATGTGTTGGAGGTGATATGACCAAACTTTCAATTTTTACCTCGAAAAACTAACTTTATGCTCTGGGAATGGTTACCAAGGCTGGAGAGATAGCTTTGTGGTCAGGAACACTTGCTGTTCTTGCAGAAGACCTGGCTTTGGTTCCCAGTGTCCACATAGCAGCTCACAGCCTTTTTTCTGTAACACCAGCTGCAAGGGATCCAGTGACCTCTTCTGGCCTCCACAAGCAGCAGGCACACAAGAGGTGCACAAGCGTACGCGCAGGCAAAACACTCATACACATTGAAAACAAATCTTAGCCGGGCGGCGGTGGCGCACGCCTTTAATCCCAGCACTGGGGAAGCAGAAGCACGCGGATCTTTGCGAGTTCGAGGCCAGCCTGGTCTCCAAAGTGAGTTCCAGGAAAGGTGCAAAGCTACACAGAGAAACCCTGTCTCAAAAAAAGAAAATCAATCAATCAATCAATCTTAAAGAGGAAGAGGAGGCAACTCCTTAAAGTTACAGTACACCAGAGGGAACACTATACTTTTGAAAATGGTGGACCAAAAGAAGGTATAGATAAGCTTCATTGCATTTTGTTTTAGCTTTGTAAACTGGATTCTTATTTTTTCATCATCTTAAAGCTACTGGGAAGAAAGTTTAAAGGATTAGTAAGTAAATGCTTCAGTTGATAACAAATCCAGCAATAGATACTGATTTCTCAACATCATACCTCAGGACACTTAATAATATTGCTTTTTAGGGTTTTTTTTTTTCTTTCGAGACAGGGTTTCTCTGTGTAGCTTTGCGCCTTTCCTGGATCTCGCTCTGTAGCCCAGGCTGGCCTCGAACTCACAGAGATCCGCCTGGCTCTGCCTCCTGAGTGCTGGGATTAAAGGCGTGTGCCACCACCGCCCGGCTTTTTTTTTTTTTTTTTACACAGGGTCTCTCAATAAGATCCAGATTGGCCTTGAACTCACAATCCCCCGACCTCAGCTTCCCAAATGTTGTAAATACAGGTCTGTACCACTATGTCCAGCTTAATATACTCTGTCATGAAAAATTAATACCACCAGTCTTTTTAAATCAAAATTTTCTCTTCCCATACCCTCTCTTACCTCCCATCTCTGTGTCTGTTCCCTTCCCCCTTCCAACCAATCGCTGTCTAAGATTTGTAAGCTTGGGCTTGCTCTGTGAACTATCTAGTTTGACTAAAACCATCTATGTGGATTGGAACTATCTACTGTAGCCTAAATTACACCAACATAAACTTTTTCTTTTCAGGAGCTTCAGAAAAAAAGTACATTAACAGGCTATGGGAAACATCCTCTCTTCCCTTCATGTTTTTTTCTGACAACCAGCTAACATGAGTAACAATCATGCAATGTGGTTAGTGAGGAGTGGGGATACAGGGTACAGTTTTGCCTTGTTACTTTTCTCTGGCATTGATTTGTGTCCTGTGCTGACACCATTCTAGAGATTACTATCTGGAGGACACACAGACAATAGAAATGACTTTAGTGGTAATAGCAGACTGAAAAAAATGAACAATCATCACCGATTTTTCTACCAGCTAAGAACATTTTCGCTTCTGATGTTCACGATGAAAAGGTTTACTCACAGAACAATGCTGTATTACTATGCCCACATGTTTCCTTATGCAAGTAAACACAATTATGGGTACTTTTATAGGCTAAAATCTGCTATGCTCTTTGGTTCTCTTATTACTCATTTGTTACTGAGACTAGCTGAAAATCAGATCAATTCTTAGCACATTTTTTTATTCATGAAGTAATGCTTAAGGAGTGCCTGCTTTATACAAGATTCAACCCACCTGGTTACTGTGTAAGATGCTAAGCATGCGTGCTTCAGATGGATAAAGGTTTTTCTAAGAATTTGAATCGCTTGGAAAGCCATACTACAGCCTCACTGTGTGGTTTTTAAAGGGTTTGGTAAAGGAGTTTTAATTGGCCCCGGTGTTTTCCAATCTTAAATTCTTTTTTTTTTTTTTTAGGAGATAAGTCGATAACTAAGAAATGATTGTTCCTCATCAAATAAGCCGAACAAACTATAAACCAAAGAATAAGGAAAGGCAAATAGACCTTTTCCGAGTTAACAAAGAGACAACGCCTGGAAAATCTGTTTATTTGCTTGACTTTCAAACCCCCTTCTTATCCTGCAGGTGAAGGCGTCTACCAGAACCCTAACAGGAAGGCGGAAGCTGCTCAGTCTACACTTGTTTCAGAGTTCAGAAGTCCTCCCTAGGAAGAATGCTCTCCCCGATTAAACAGTCCCCCTCAACTAAGTCTCAGGTGTATCTATGGCCACGTCTCTCCAAAGCCCCAAGGCTCTGTCACCTAAGCCAGGGGAACTTGCTGGTCGACGTCCCTCGCCTTCCTCCCCGCCCCGCTTTGGTGCCCTATTGTGCGCAGCTAGGGCACTGCCAAGTAACTCCTTTTATGGTGAGAGGATGGATTCTTCGTCGTCTCCCCGCCCAAGTCTGGTACCTACCCACCCGTCCACCCACACGTCTGCCAAGTCCCACCCGGAGCGCTCGGGCGTACACACCCACGCACAAACCGCACACCCACTTCTCCTCTCCGCTCCGCCGCTCTCGGGTAGAGTCCTAAAGAAACGGCCCTGACGTCCCAAGACCCACATGCTCGCTCCGCTGCGGGTGGAAGTGAGAGAATTCCCTCTAACCCGCAGAGGGTCATAGACCAGACGCTGGTCCCAGCATCATCCCCACTAAATACCCAGCTCAGGAGTGGCAAAGCGCGTGCAGGGACTTCCCTGGGACTCGTCCCGGGTGCTCTCGGTATCTCTGAGAGAGGGAAAGCACTGGAGAGCCCCCCCGCAGCCCGGTGGCACCTTGGCAGGTCCCTCTAAACCTCCCCAGGCTCTCCGCTCCGCCCCCTATCACCAGGCTCCCGGGCGGTGCTATAGGAAGACTCGCTCCGCCCCTTTTCCGGGCCAGCCAATGGGCGCCCGGGCCGCGCGCTGACTGTCTCCGCCCCCGTTGGGGAAACTTGCGGGAGGAGAAAAGTTTGTACAGAGTCTGCAGGAGCGAGAGCGAAGCTCGAAACCCGGCGGCGGGAGAGGAAGATGAACAGCCCCAGGTCAGAGCCCCAGGCCCAGTGGACCCCGCGCCGCCCCCAGAGCACCAGGAGCGGCCTCCGCGGCAGCCGCCTTCTGCGGTAGCTGTCCGTTCAGCCCGCGGCTGGGGAGGAGGGAGCCCGGACCTACGCTCCGTTCCACCTGCACGCGTGGCGGCACACCTGGACGCTGCCCTCCCGCACCAGATCTGCGGGCTCTGCAAATCTGAGACTTGCCTTTGAACGAAGGAGGGTGGGGGGGTCAATCAAACAAGAAACCCAAGACCCGTCTTCACTGAGCCTCGCTTGCTTTCTAAGCTTTTTGAAAGCTTGATCCTCTGACCTCAGTTCCGGAAAGTTGGCAGCCACCGAGACCCGGTTCCGAGGGGGGCAAAGGCTTGACAAGTTCCTCACTGAGCGCAAAGAGACTGATGGCTGAGGTTAGAGGCCGGTCCAGAACGTCTGAGGCCTGAACCTTGGGGCGCACCGTGCTCCTAACCCCACCCTACAGGTAAGTTGGGATGGAGGTCTTTCCGTGGACAGCACAGTGAGTGGCCAGGCGCTCTTTCGGGGAAATCAAAGAACAGAATGTGCTTCTCAAATTGTCCATAACTTGTTTCAATGAGAATTTTATCGACTCTGTCGGGAATATCACTAGCGAGTCACTTTTCCCTAGAGAAGGGTCTTGCTCATCTTGGCGATGGAGTGAGTGGAGGGGGGGGGGTAGGCGGGAATGGCAGTTATCAGCTTATAAATATTAATGTCAGCAGAGTGGTGCTCTTGGCAGGACCCATTCAGAGCTTGAGAATTTGAGTAGCCACAGTTAGTGAGTGGCTACAGATCAGGAAGTCGGATCCGGTTGCTCTCCTTGTCTCATTGACATAGCATTTCTGGCCATGGGTCGAACACCTTGCAAGTGGTAAGCGGTTCACCTCTCTCATTCCTCCCTCACCATCCCTAGATAGAACCGTGAGCTCCAAAGCTGTGTACTACTGCCCACCATCATGTCCATTCCCGGGGCCAATGCGTCCTTCTCCTCCGCTTCGGAGAGGCTGAACAGCCCAGTGACCATTCCGGCAGTGATGTTCATCTTCGGGGTCGTGGGCAACCTGGTGGCCATCGTAGTGCTGTGCAAGTCGCGCAAGGAGCAGAAGGAGACGACCTTCTACACTCTAGTATGTGGGCTGGCTGTCACTGACCTACTAGGCACGTTGCTGGTAAGCCCAGTGACCATTGCCACATACATGAAGGGCCAATGGCCCGGGGACCAGGCACTGTGTGACTACAGCACCTTCATCCTACTCTTCTTTGGCCTGTCGGGTCTCAGCATCATCTGTGCCATGAGCATTGAACGCTACCTGGCCATCAACCACGCCTACTTCTACAGCCACTACGTGGACAAGCGACTGGCGGGCCTCACGCTCTTCGCCGTCTATGCATCTAACGTGCTGTTCTGCGCACTGCCCAACATGGGCCTGGGCAGGTCTGAGCGACAGTACCCCGGCACCTGGTGCTTCATCGACTGGACCTCCAACGTGACGGCCTATGCCGCCTTCTCTTACATGTACGCGGGCTTCAGTTCCTTCCTCATCCTCGCCACCGTGCTCTGCAATGTGCTCGTGTGCGGCGCGCTGCTCCGAATGCACCGCCAGTTCATGCGCCGCACCTCGCTGGGCACGGAGCAGCATCATGCGGCCGCCGCCGCAGCAGTGGCTTCGGCGGCCTGTCGGGGCCACGCGGCCGCCTCCCCAGCCCTGCAGCGCCTCAGCGACTTTCGCCGCCGCAGGAGCTTCCGGCGCATCGCGGGCGCGGAGATCCAGATGGTCATCTTACTCATCGCCACCTCCCTGGTGGTGCTCATCTGCTCCATTCCGCTGGTGGTGAGTGTCAGGGGCTGGGGTCCACTCGGTCCTTCTCCCGCATCCACCTCTCTTTCCTCGCTCCCGCTTTCTCCCTGATTCCTTGGCGGTGACAGTTTCCTCCAGGTCTGAATGGAGACCTGCTCAAGGCTTCTCTGAGTAGACCCAGGCTCTCCTAAATCCTGACCCTAAGGAGACTCAGCAGGTGATTTCCCTCTCGGTCCCCCGAGGTTCTTTCCCCGAAAGCATGGGTTCTGAGGTCCCCTGGACAGCCCCCTGGGCTCCCCTTAATCTGATGTTTTGCTTTGTATCTTCCCAGAACCCTCACTGCTGGACCAGCCAGATGGGGGAGGAGGGGACTATAGGGTTACTTACTCTAAGCACTCCACTCTGTGGCCCCCAGAGCATGGCAAACCAGAGGTGATAAGCTCTGTTGAACTCATTCCTTGGGTGAGTGCGGTTTGAGTGTTTTGATTTCTGTAGGTATTTTTCTTTTTCCTAGATTATGCAGCATTTTAAAGCTAGAATAGATGAGATGCTTTTTAGTTTAAAAGCCTGATTCGAGTCACTTCACGGAAGAGAGAGAGTGACTTGCTTAGAATAATCTTGCAGACACATTCAAGCTGTTCCCCGCCCCGCCTCAGCCTCCACCCGCCCATCCGCCCCCCCTGCCCCCCGCCCACCACCACCACCACCACATACACACAAAATCATGTCATGCTTGAGAAGACTCTTGAACGGGGTAATGTCCAAATTCAAGTTCCCTATTCTTTTTGCAAGCCAAGAAAGCACGCGGGAGATGGGATTTGGACAAGTTGATGTGCATCCGGTGTTGCATTTTAATTCTCAATGACCAGGAGAGGTCCGGTTTCTCCTTTACGGAGATGGTTCCCCCTAGGCCACCAGACTCCAGTGCCCACTACTGTAGAGTTACAGTCTCGTCTAATTTAGGCTTTTGTGGAGTGTCGTTGGTGTTTTGGTGCACTCCGTCTTTGAGGTAACACACTCTTTAAAAACTGCCTTTAGTAACGCTTGAAATACTATAAACAGAGAGGTGCAGATGCCTCTAAAGTTCTCTGCTTTTACATGTTGTTGGTAGAATGCACTAGAAACAGGTCGGTGGTAGAACATAATTCTTCATCTAGAATTTATCTTGTTCCAAGTTCTATCTCTCAACATACTGCATTCCTGTAACTTCTGAACTACCTATTCAAAAAGAAATTACTATCTATGTTCATTGGGAGCAAGTGGAAATAAACTTAATGGGCTATTATGCTTTTCTTTCTCTTATTAATACTACTAGGGATCTTTGATATAAAAATATTTTTATGCCTTACAAAAGTGACTGTAAATGGAAGAAACTCAGTGGTGGCTGCGAGCCAGCATACAGTAGCTTCTTGCCAATTTGTATAAACAGAAGTAAATATGACTGGCCAGAAGGGCCTTTAAGCCGTCCCAGAACCTAATGTAATTTACAGAGTTAAGTCACACTTGAGCCACATAAATATATTTTACTGTCTGTAATGTCAACTGAAAATAAAGTGAGAGTTGGAAGGGAAGGCCCCTGTTTCTGCTGAGGCCTCTAGTCTCTCCTCGGCCTCGTATTTTATGGGACGGTAAATGACAAAGTGAGCAGCTGTAATTTACAGGATGTCCTCTTTGTGGAACTGAGGAGTCGGAGCTAGGCCATTAGTAACCATGCACAAACTTTCTAAATGTTTTGGTTAGAAGTGAGCATGTGACACCACTGATTCACATGAAGCTACCAATAAGGTGTTCTCCTCTGTCATCTGGAGAGGCTTACAAAACTAAATCTACGGGCTGACCTGGCCCTCAGGTTCAGGGCCATTTATGACAAAGCCTGAAATTATGTGAGGACCCAGAGCTATATTTATGTCTGGCATGTTAATCACATTTTAGCTAATGAAGAATACTGTCCAGTCTAAAGAAGTCAGTACCAGGGATTGAGGTCAAGGACCTCTATCTGAAAGCTAAAATTGACTCAGCTAAGGGGTGAGCATGTTGGTCAAGAGCCTGAATGCTTTCATGAGAAATAACTAATAAAATAAATAGGAGTAGCTTCAGAGTTTAGCCTGGATTTTGAGCTACAAAAAAAAAAATCTACTTCTTCAGAGGCCAGCTTAAATTAAAATTTGTCACAAGTAATGGGGAGCTATAGCACCCATGTATTCCCCCACGATTCAGTAATTATTGAAATAATCAAAAGGAACTTTCACAGTTACCGTCTTTCTTGGCTTATTTTGCAGCCCTCCCCCCACGTTTCACATATATTCGGAGAATAAATGAGCTGAAAGCTCTGAAAACTCCCTGGTGGTTAAAGCAGTTGGGCATACTTTCAGTTGGAAGGAAGGATGAAGCACCTGCTTTAGCATGATTGAATAAAACTGAGTGCTAATTCCACTGGAGGGAAATGAAACCCTCTGGGTCACTTTCAATGCTTTCAGAAGGCTACCTGAGAGAGCAAACACAGCTCGCTTGGACTTTCAGAGAGCTACATGCAACATAGAGGGAGGACAGGCAGCCACTGCAAAGCATCCCCGTCTGTCTTTTGGACCCGTGGGAAGAGGCTGGATTAGCTCTTACGGGATGGTTGATAATACATTTAATATGAAAAGTAAATTTGAATCGGTTGGGCAAAATGGAGCCATGGCTGGAGAGCGAAAGCTGAGAGAGGCTGTGAATTCCATTGTGGACACAATGAATATGCCAAATTTGCAAAATTCTCCGTGGATCATAGTCAATGAACAGAGAAAGTATAAGCAGACTTTACAGCACACAACACTTGGTAGGAATATGTTTTTTGTCATTTTTTTCCTTTCTGCTATTTATAACTGATCTCAGGGTTGGGCTGTTGCTTTTTTCAAAGCAGAAGAAGCTAAAGAAATGAAAGTACATGCTTAAGATAAATGTCTTGCATTTTTTAGCAACATGCAATCAACATGACCTCCCAAGGATACCATATTAAATACTGTAACTAGATTGATTTCTGGTATTTAATTTTGCAGTTATAATACTAATGTTGCGATAACAGTTTTAATCAGATCTTTTGCCTCGGGGCTAAAGAGCTAGACTGTCAGGTTTGGAAAGGCATGTCCCTCCACACACAGGCAAGCCAAGGGCATATTTATTGCTTATTTGTTCCTTTTCTTTCTTCTTCCTCTGAGCTACCAGTAGTATGGCAAATTAATTAATCTTCTGCTTTGGTCAGGTAAATTCTACGCCCTTAGGGAAATAGTTTCCTGTGTTTCTTTGGTTGTGGCTAGAAAGGCATCAGCAACAGCTTATAGAGGCAGACAAAACTGTAAACAGGAACATGTTTTGTAGAAGGCAAACTGGAAGTGGGCCCATTAAATGATTGGATGAACAAAAAGCGCACACACAGGTAAAAAGTAATGTGATTAATTTAGATGCCACTATGGTGAAATCAAACACATTTGATCACTTTTTTAATAAGTGTGGCTAAGTTTTTAAAAGAACTGCAATTCCTAGAAGTAATTTTTGAGTCACAACTTGAAATGGCAGGCTTTTTAGAAGTACTTGGATGACTGCAGAGTAGCACATAAAAACAATTTCACCGAACCCAGCAGTGTATCGGAATCTTCTCAGTGGAGTAATCTCACGTTTCCACCCACTCAACACCTCAGTTTCCCCAGCCCCAGATGAACAACTGTGACTGACTGGGTGGCTGGGAATGTATCCTCCTTCACTTCTTATCTCTTCTTACTGACATCTCAAGCTTTGATTTTATTGAAGATTTATAACAAGGTATTTTTTCCCCTAGAGCTGAAACGTTGAAGCTATAAATTGGGGGGGGGGGGAAGCTTTCAGAATAGATTTACCATGTAGATATTAACCACTATGAAGTAACTTGCATGCAGTGGACGGCCAGTTAGTGGTCTAGAAGGAACAAGACATACAGACTCTTCTACCACCACTCAGTTCAGAACACTTTCCATGACCCTTGATTTAAAAGGGGGGTGGTGGTAAGAACTTCATGTAACAGCTGTGTCAATTCTGGACTCTTCACAAGGCAATGAGATTACAGAGTACACAGGGACAGTTCCTCTCATGTGCTTGGAACAGAACAGGTAGCCCGCATGCGCAAATCCAGTTACAGATCCTTCCATTTATTGGATAGCATTTCAATTCAGACAGTCAATCGTTGCATTGGTCTAGTCAAGAGTTCAACATTTCAGTTCAACATTCTCTTCAAACAGATTTTTCTTAGGTAGGAAGTACATGGTTTGAATACCAGCCATCAAATATACCCCAAAGCTACCTGGGACCTGCAGTTATCAGTGTAGCCCAGAGTGGCCGTGTTTTTACATATGTGTTCAAAGGAAAGTCGGAAGTGACAAAAGAGTGTTAAATCCTAGGCACTAGACTAGGCACTTTAAGAACTTAGGCATAGCCTGGACTGGTAGCGCTTGGCTTGAATCCCAGCACTAGGAAGTCAGAGGCAGGCAGAGCTCTGTGGGTTCAAGGTCAGCCTTATCTATAAAGCAAGTTTCAGGACAACCAGAGCTACATAGCCATGTCTCAAAACAAAACCAAAAACCTTTATGTAGAAATGGTAAAGACCACAGCCAAAATACGGAGAAGTTTGTTTGGTAACAAATCTTGGGCATTTACCACTCTACCATATAGCCTCCCCGTTAACGCTCCCGCTGTCGTACCTTCTAGTCTTTATTGAATCCTTGGCCAGCTCTATTCCAGAGCCCCTAAGCTGGACTCCTCATCAGTCTCAAGAAGTTTAGAATCTTGGAATCATTGCCAGTATCAGGCACAAGTCACATCCACCAAGTCTGCAGCTGCTCATCGTCAAAAGGGAAGAAAGTTAGGGGCCTTGTTTGTATCCAGTAAGGTTTTTAGAAGTTTTCCCCTCTCTGACTCAGGTTCTGTTTTATCAGCAACACATGCTTCCCTAACTGCAGACTGCCTGAACTTATTTATTTATAAAACATCTAGGGCTTGCTGGAGGAGGGGTGTAGAAAAGTACTGCTGTGGGTATTCCTATCAAGCCGGTCACTGCTCTTCAGGGACATTTCGGAAAACAAGTGGTTTTCTGTTTGTTTGTTGGGCTTTGTTTTTGGTTGATTGGTTAGTTTTCCAAGACAGAGTTTCTCTGTGTAGCTCTGGCTGTCGTGGGACTCTCTCTGGACAGCAAGTGGCCTTCAAAGTGAAGCCAGAGTTGCCATAATTTTTCAAATGCCATAAAATGCCTCGAGTTGTTAGTTTTGTTTCTTTTTTCCTCACTCCACTTGAAACTAAACTGAGAATACGAGGCCAAGTCATTTGGAGTCTCTGAAAATAACTTGATTGACTTTTGAGAACTTTGATATGAATTTGGAATTGGGGTGTATATATTGAACTTATTCTGAAGTTTTGGGAATGAAGTCTGAGGCTTTATGCATGCTAGGCAAGTACTCTGACCTTGTGCTACATCCTAACCCAGAATGTTGTATTTTATGCTCATCCGTATACTACCTCTACGAACACTGCTTTACTGAAAGACACTAAATGATGAGATCCAGGGCCCTGTGCTAATTGTAAGTCCCTCCAAGCCCCCATGGAACTCTAAAATAGAACATTTAAAAATTACAGCTTCTTTCATTCCCTTCTGTAGTAGTCACATTTAATTATGGCTGCAAAAAAAAAAAAAAAATGAAATACAAAGGTAATTTCTTCCTTGCTCCCTGTTAGTTTTGATTATAAAAAACATATCATTAATTTTTCACAACACTGACTTTTTAAAATAGCACAGAAGTTTGAAAACTAAAATGTGAATTGCTTTAAGTAGGTACAGCTTTTTTGTTTGTTTGTTTTAACTGTTCAGAAATTTCCTCTTTTCAGGGGTAACTGTGTTTCCTTTGAGGTTGTGGTGGAGAACCAACCAGCAGAAAAACATGTTAATGTTAATATATATGAAATTCAAAGTCCAAACTTAACCAGACTCTATTCTGAAAGCTTCTTTGAAAATACATGTGCAAAATGCATCCCAAGAGATGCAGGGTACCAGCTACTCCAATGTAGAGCAACACTGCCCTCTAGAGGCTTCAAGTGTCAGGTTCACACAAACCCTGCCACAGCCAGAGCTTGCTACTAGCTGGTTCAAGCCCATCACTTCCTTCATCACATCTTGAGAGTGTGAGTAAAATACAGGCCTTGTATTTTCTAGTGATGACTTCATTACTAAGAATAAATTTTAAACATAAATCCAGCCTGGTAGAACAATAAAAGCCACATGTAATTCATCTGGAAACTAGAGCCCAGAGCAGACCTAATTATCAACAGGATAAGAGAGAGTTTGAAAAGTTCCTCAATGTTTTCAGGACTCTAGTTTATGCCTGTTTATCCCAGCACTTCGGAAGTTGAGGCAAGAAGGAGGACCAGCCTAGTAAAAAATTACCCTGTCTCAAACACACACACACACACACACACACACACACACACACACACACACACGCAGCCTTCCAGGTCCAGGTAACAAGCACATCATATGAGAAAAGAGTAGGAACTTGCTCAGCTACCATGTATCACTAAGGACTTGGGTGAAGCATCTAGAAGGAAGAACCCAAGATCCTTTGTGTGCACTTGTTTTTGAGGCTTTAGAAGCACAGGGGGGTTGCTTCTCGTTAGAGTTGTGTAATAGTTGCTGAATTCAGTCGAACCCTATCTTGAAGATGCACAAAACTGTGGCTCATGAGGAGCCATGGGAGGTTTTTTAGCAGCTAAACTGCATAATGGGACATGTACTTCAGAAATAATCTTCTGGGTGGTTTGGAGAAGGGATCTCGGGTGAAAAGTTTATCTGGGTGGCTAATGCAATGTTATCTCCCATGAGGGATGCTGTTGAGGAAATGGATTAGAAACAAGTCTGGGTTCAAGAAACAATAACAGCAGATAATTATTATGGGGAGTGGGGAGAGCCACAGAGGAAAACTATGCTCTCGTCATTCTGGCTGACAGGAGACATTGATGCTGGTTCAAAAGTACCAAGTATTTTCTCTGAGTGTAAAGGCATAGGTGCCTCGGTGTTTTGTAATGATTACACGGTTAATTGACTTACAAGTGAGTGTCTTTTCAAATACAGTAACTGCCTTGTGTAAACTGCAGTTGCAAAGCAGACATTACCATGTACAGGCAGCTACGTCACGTCCGTCACGCTGCAAAGGTAAATGCGGCATTTAAGTGTTTTTGCCAAATTGCTTAATTATAAAATCTCAACGTGGGCCTCTCATTTGCGCAGGTGCGAGTGTTCATCAACCAGTTATATCAGCCAAGTGTGGTGAAAGACATCAGCCGGAACCCCGATTTGCAGGCCATCAGAATTGCTTCCGTGAACCCCATCCTGGACCCCTGGATCTATATCCTTCTGCGCAAGACTGTCCTCAGTAAAGCCATAGAGAAGATCAAGTGTCTCTTCTGCCGCATAGGTGGGCCCGGCAGGGACGGCTCGGCGCAGCACTGTTCGGAGAGTCGGAGGACATCCTCTGCCGTGTCAAGTCACTCTCGCTCCTTCCTCTCTCGGGAGCTGAGGGAAATCAGTAGCACATCTCAGACCCTCCTGTACCTGCCTGACCTAAGCGAAAGCAGCCTCGGAGGCAGGAATTTGCTTCCAGGTGTGCATGGCATGAGCCTGACCCAAGCCGACACCACCTCACTGAGAACTTTGCGAGCGTCAGAGACCTCGGACTCCTCCCAGGGCCAGGACTCGGAGAGTGTCTTGTTGGTGGATGAAGTTGGTGGGGGCGGCAGGGAGGAGCCTGCCCCTAAAGGAAACTCTCTGCAAGTCACGTTCCCCAGTGAGACGCTGAACTTATCTGAAAAATGTATATAGTAGCTGAAGGGGTGGGGAGGGAGCACTGTTTCGGGAACTTTATAAAATCCTGTGCAATAGACATCCACGTGTTTAGCTGTACTCAGAAGGGCTGTCTTCGTCTGCGATCCTATTCGAGAACATTCGAGCTTGTGAGAACTCTTCAGTGCTGCGGATGAGTCCCCTGAGTGCCGAGGCCTGAAGCACATTGGCTGTCACTCTGACGGGACTCAAGACTGCAGCTGGAACTTGCCAGCTTTTTCTACTGGATAGGAAGATGGCAGAAGCTACGTATTTTCATAACATCAGAACTTCCGATTTGGCACATACCAGAGGTCCAGATACTGGAAGGGCTCTACCCCAAACTCTGAGGACTGTCTTACAGCTGATTTAAGTGTCTCACTAAAGCATGAAATGTGAATTTTTATTGTTGGAACTATAATTTAAGGTATTTATGTTCTTCTCTGTGAGAAGGTTTATTGTTAATACAAGGTATAAGAAAATGATGATATGCCCTCTCCTGCCAGTATAACCAGCTAATATTGTCGATGTTATTTTTTTTCCATAAACAAGTCAGGCCAAAGTATTGAAAACAGAGTGAAATTTATATCTATAAAATAGATACAAATTTTTAAAGAGTTTAGTATTATCAAAGGAAAAAGAAAGAATATTATTTAAGATGTGAAAATTAAACAACCTAAAATATATTTTCCAAGCTATATATAATAAAGAAAAAATTTAGAAACATAATATTACATTTATTTATCCAGAAAACTGTGATTTCAGGAGTACCTAACATTGCTGGTAAACATTTTCAGACTTTGTCCCCAGTAATTGGTATTTTTAAAGATGTAACATACTTTTTTAAAGTCTCTGACTACCCATAACTGAAGTGTGTAGTATAAACAGTCTAAGTGGCTTGTTCTGTCCTGAAGGCCTGTGTAGTTTTACTTGCCAGCAGAATGTCTGACAGCATCCTTTCAAATTTAAAGAGGAAGGTGGCTCTTCGTTTGGTGTGGTTTCCACTCTGTGGTGTGTTTCAACAGATACTGAGAGTTTTGTGTAGTCCAGTTCTACTGTACCTGTGTTTGGAGGCGCTTTCTCAGAGAAATCTTAAGCATGCTTTGTTGCTTAATGTGTTCTTGTGAAATGCTTGGTTGTGACTGAATTCTGAGCCTGATACTGATAAGGGTTTAAAGAGTAGTTGAACCAACTGAAATTATTCCAGAGATTACAATAAATAATTGCATTCAATCTGAGTTCCATAGCTTCAATTTTGGAAACCGTGTATGGGGTTTTTTGCCACTGTTTTGTTTTGGGGTGCCTTCTATAGCCTTTTAAATTGAAAGAGTTCTTTTTGTTTTGTCTGAAGCTTGAAGACACTTTTATTAGATTTTGAAGAAAAACTCCAAGGCAACAAGTTGTAAATCTCACCAGCTGCCCAGAGGACAGAAGAGAGAAAGGGCCATGGCATTTCAGCTGAGTGGGCATGGAGGTCAGACACATGGCAGACAGCAGCCACACAGTAGGAAGAAGAGCTTGAGAGAGAGAGAGCACAACATACCAAAATAAACACACTCGGCTCTGACTAGCATCTGAAAGGATGAGACAGAAAAGACAAAAAATGAAGTCATGCCTCTGAGTAAGGGTCCTAACAGGTGGGCAGACCCATCAGAAGCTCGTGGCAGCCAAGAATCGACGGCATAGAGGGAAGGAATTCTAGCAAAGTGCATTATCTCTAGGTGGAGAGTGGAGACATGCCATGTCTCCTGAGTTAATCCAGTTGGCCATGTCAATCACCTGGCCAAGAGGCATACCCTTAGGAAGTAGGGTCCACCTTAAGCTATACTAAAGAGATAGGAAGATTAATTATTTCCTTAACGATAAACTGAATTTTTAAACATTTAAAATGATGCTATTATTAAAATGTCATTCATAGTATATTCTATCTACTTAGTGGAGAACAAGTGGTATACTTAGGAACCATGATCTAAGTGACAGACAACTAGTACTCAATGTCACCAGTTTATGTTGCTGGTGGGAGAAGCGATGTCATACTTAACTAGCTGCATGCTCAATGTCCAAGTAATTATCACTAATTATTAACATCAATACTTCCTATTCTCCGGATCAGCGTTTCTGAGACATTAGCCTGCACAAGTCATCAATAGAACATATCTTCCTCCCTTCCTTCCCCTGCTTTTTCTTTTTCTTTCTTTTTCTTCCTTCCTTCCTTCCTTCCTTTTCTTTTCTTTCTTTCTTGCCTGTCTGTCCATCTGTCTTTCTTGACAGACTCTTGCTCAAGCTGGCCTGTGACTCCTGTGGAGTGTGGAGATTACAGAGCTGCACCAGCACACCCAGCAGCAGCCTCTGATTCTTTCCTGGGTGACACCGACGCTGTCCGTTTTAGGATAGACTTTAGCAATAATCTCTGGGCCTGAGGTCATGGTTTGCTATTTGCAAGTACTTCAAGATATTTTTAGATAGTGTCAGAAAAGCAAGACACCATCTTTGCAGGCCTACTGGCTCTGGGATTAAGGTAAGGAGCATGCGGATTTAACTTCTAAAATGTTTTCTGTCACTATCTGAATGAATGCCTAAGAAACAATGGTTTCAGAAAAAGTGCTGTGAATACGGATTTTGTCTTCACAAATATGATCCATAGAGATCACCCATCCCTAGATTTATATATAAATTAATGCATGTATATATAACCTCACTTACATCCCTGGGGCAAGCAAAGCCTCACTCATGAATTAGCATTACTAATAAGCACGACATATCTCATTCATGTTTACTTCAGGTTCACTCCCAAGAACACTGACTTGGCTTAATCTTGTTTACTGAAATTCACATACTATGACATTTATTCTTTAAAGTATACATCCTTTAAAATGTTTTAGTAAGCTCAACTAAAAAAAAAATCACTGATGTCCAATTCCCAAATATTTTCATCATCCCAAGAAATCACCTGCCATCTGCAATCAATCCACACTGTTCAGCCCTAGCCCCTGACAACCAATATATGCCTATTGATTTCTCTATTGTGAACATTTTATACAAGGGAAATAATGCAGTAACTGGCATTGTTTGTTGGCCATCTTTGTGTTAGAATAACATTTTCATGGTTTGTTGATATGGCAACATTAGTCAATATTTTATTCCTTATGTCTGAATAATATCCCATGAACTGCCATACCACTTTTTAGAATCCACACACTAATTAGACCAGTGTTGCATTGATCTCATTTTTTGGCTACTGTAAATAATGCTGCTAAGAACTTCTTTGTGTATAAATGTTTTTAACCCTTTCGGGTTCATAACTGGGAATGAAATTCTAAGCTCAGTATTTTGAGGCAACGTTGAACTGTTTTCCACGTGACTATAATATTTTACATTGCCACCAGCAATGTATAAGACCTTGATTTTTCAATAACCTTGCACTATTTATTGTTGTATTTTTATTATAGCCATCTGATGGGCATGAAGTAGTTTCACTGCATATCCTAATGACTAATGATATTTTGCAAGTATATACATAGTTACTGGCTGGTTTTATATTTTAGAGAAATGTCCACTGAAGATTTTGTTTCCATTTTTAGTGGTTTATATGGCTACGATAATCTGCCAAGGCTGCCACAGACTGGATGGCTTAACCAACAAAAATTTATTTCCTCAGAGTTCTATTGGCTGGAAGTTCAAGTTTAAGGTGTTGGCGGGGTTGGTTTCTCTTGAGGCTTCTCTTGTTGGTTTTTGGATGACAACCTTCTCAATATGTTCCTACATGGCCTTTGTCTTTATTTCCATGCTGTATGCATATCTCCGCTCACACATATACCCCATTATAAAACACCAGGCACACTGGAGAGAACCTCACCTTGATATCCTTCCTGTGAAAGCTTTATCTCCAAATACATTCATATTTAGGAACTTGAGAGTCAACAAATGAACTTGACAGGTACACAATTTAATTTATTGCTGAATCTAGTATATACTTTAAAGAACAGCCAAGGGAAAAGAAGGCCACCATTTCTCAGTCATTTATTCCATTTACTATAAGCTAAACTTTTTAGCCTTGAATATGAAGTTAGAAAAATCCATGCTACGCCAAGCATTTTCCGTAAACTACCTGAATTAGTTTCAGAACAAAAAGAAATGATACTTTCTCCACCATCGCCCTACCTCATGCCTTCTGACTACTACGTCCAAAGCTGAGCCTGATTCTGAAACTATGCTCTCATGATTGCATTCCACGTCCATGAGAAAAGAAACTAGATAACAAAGCTTGACAGCAAGAGACCATTTAATCACATGAAGCTGCCATGGGCCACACACAGGTGGTGCTTTAGAGACAAACTGGAATCACATGGGGTCAAGGAAGAGGGGAAGAGAACTGGATCTCTAGTTCTCAAACAGCATCAACATCTCTGCCATTCATTCATTCATTCATTCATTCATTCAATACCTCCATTCATTATCTCCAGTTCCCACCACGGAAGAAGGGGACAGAAGAGAACACCAAACTTACCTATGCCTTAAACAACACTCACTTACAATTTCAACAGGTACATTATTACTTTTCCTTCTTGAGGAATAAAACAGGATTTAATACAAAGGAAAAATCAACAGAATTCCGTGACAGATGAAAGCACTCAGTCACTGCTCTGCAGCAGGCCAAGAGCACAGTGAAGTCAGAAGGCAGCTGGAGAGAACACTAGGCCACCCCTAAGAGTTTTTTTAAGGGAGATTGTTTGATATGTAGCATTACTAAAAGGAAAATTATAAATTCATTAAACAGTTCGGATTTTTTGTAATATACACATAGAAACAAAAATCAAGACACTTACTGACTCCAGGGAAAACAAAGAGGGGTTTTGAAATGGAAAGACAAATATGATATACCTAACTCTACTACATATTGAGTACAGACTGAACCAAATCATAACGAATTACATGGGAGAGATAGTAAATATATATACCATAAGTTAGACTTACCTGCAGCAAGAAAAACCAACAACTATTAAAAATGTCTTAACTGTTAAAAATCAATAAAAACACAGTTAAGATTAAAAAAGGTTAGAGAACACCAAATACACTTTAGAAAATCTTCCACGCTGTTGGTAGAGGTGCAAACTTAATACAACCACCTTGAAATTTAACTTGCATAGTAATTTTAGGAACTGAAATAAGGAAGATTTGTGTGCGGGAACATGGACAGAACCAGAGATCACTGAATTAAGTGAAGTAAGCTAGATCCAGAAAGACAAATACTGGCCTATTTGTTTTCATATGCAGACGAGAGAGAGAGAGAGAGAGAGAGAGAGAGAGAGAGAGAGAGAGAGAGAGAATGTGTGTGTGTACATGTGTTAGGGGTGTCTTATCTGTGTACGCAAGGTGTGGAATATGAAACTAGAGGACTATGAGAAGGAAGGAAGACATCTTAAGGGAGGTCAAGTAGGGCAAACAGATAATGAACTACCTGAACTACCCGTGACAAGAAAAGAGAAAAGGGACGATTTGGGGGAGGGAAGAGAGAAATAAAAGAGGGCCATGAGGAGCAACGGACAATAAGAACAAAGTCTAATGGCATATATATGAAAATGCCATAATGAAATCCACCATTTTGTATGCTAACTTCAAATTTTAAGTTTTAGGTGAGAAAGAAAAAGAACCAGGTCTTTACTCCTAAATGGCTTTACTGTATAAATTATTTCCCAGAGAAAAAAAATATACTTGACCCAGGAAGTTTCTCTTTAGAGTTTTCTGGGACCAAAAGACAAACGAACTATCACTATTATTATGAATAGTGACCTCTCGTGAAATAATGACCGAGATTGAATGGTTAATCGCATCAATATGATGCTATTTGGAACCGCCTAGGACACAGACTTTTGGGTATATTTAGGAGAGGTTTCCAGAAGAAACACCCACCCTGAATGTGGGTGGAGCCATCCCACGGGCGGGCTGCAGTCCTCACTGAATAGCAAGGAGAAGGCAAGCTGAGCACCAGCATTAGCTCCTTCTGCTTCCTGCCTGCAGGTGCCACGTGACCAGCTAGCTACCTTCCTCGGCTGCCCCCTTGCCTTCCACTCCCTGATGGACTGTATGGTGGGATCATTAGCCAAAACAATGCCTTCCTTCTACTGCTCTCTGTGTGAGGTGTTTGATCTCTGCGACAAGGAAAGTACACCAGACAAAGGCAATCAATAGATGCTGATAAGACCAAGAAGTGATAGCTAGAAATATTTAACTTCTGGTAGAAGTAGTCAAGGCTCTAACCCTCCTCCCCGAGCCCCACCAAGAAAATGAATCCGACCAGTCTCCAGAACTAAGAACCCATTTATAAGCAATATGAACACAGAAGGAAATTAAAGTATCAGGTAGAATACAATAAGCAAAATATAAAATGTGAAAAATATTGAAGAAAAAATGACTAGTTCCTTTTTAAAACAATGGGGGGCCAGAGGTGGAAAGTAAGTGGTCCCTGTTGCGGAAGATACCATGCACTCTAGAAACAGAGCCCAGGGACCCCTGAGCTGGGACTGACCTGAATGCCCCCTCCCTGAGGACTAGCTTTCATGGCACCAAAAGGCACCAGGCAGGCTTCCAAAGGAGGGAGACAACAGTCCTACCCAGCTATGATGCCTATGAACCACATCAATGACCAGCAGGCCATGATAACCCAAAGGAGGCAGCAGCAGCACATAGACCTTGGCAGTAAGCAACAGTTCTCTAATTAAACTGAAGACGCACTCAAAAGAGAAATCATGCCTGGCACTGGAAACCTAGCCAACTACCCAGGAACAGGGAAGTCATGGCTTTTAGAAGAGAACCACCTACAATCACTTTACTAAACCAGCATAATCCCTAACTAAACTCTAAATATCTATACTTATAAGTAAAGATAAGTATGGTCTTCACCCCTTATCAGGGAAACTTCTCTTTGTAAAAGATGGAAGACACTAGAGAAAACCACAACCAATCAAAATGCAGAGTTGTGGAGCCCAATCCCAATCCTATCTACAAAGCATCCTGTACCTAAAGCTCAGGGAACACTGTAGAAGAGAGGGCAGAAAGATTGTTAAGGGCCAGAAGGATCAGGCTGGAGAGCTGGCTCAGCTGTTAAGAACACTGGCTGCTCTTCCAGAGGACCTAGGTTCAAGTCCCAGTACCCACATGGCAGCTCACAACTGTCTGAACCTCCAGTTCCAGGGGACTGACACCCTCACAGACATGTATGCAGGCAAAACACCAATGCACACAAAATTTTAAAAAAGAAGGAACCAGAATATTAAGGAGTTGTTGCGAGATTGTGTCTCCTAGTAACACAGAAGTGACATCCATAAAGCCCCAACATGACTGCGCAAACACAAGCAGAACAAGGGTGACACCAGTGGACAAGCCAAACCAGACAGGAAAAGCCCACAGTCCCACACAAGGAATGGTAGGCGAGTGAGGAAAGCTGGGAGCGGAAGTGTTCCTCCCCAGGGAAGAGCACACCAATTGTTGTCCAGTGCCAAATGATCGGCTCTGAAAAGGGACATACAAACAACATTATTCAGACTGGACAGTTTATATTACAGGGTGTGTGTGTGTACATATATGTGTATGTGTATATATGTATGCACATATATACACACAATTAGTGAAAAGGGGTGTGTGTGTACATGTGTGTGTGTGTGTGTGTGTGTGTGTGTGTGTGTGTGTGTGTGTGAATACATATATACACACAATTAGTGAAAAGAGGCATTGACTTTGAGGGAGAATAGGGAGGGGTGTATGAGAGGATTTGGAAGAAGGGAAGGGAGAAATAGTGTGATTGTTATGATCTCAAAATTTAAAAATGAAAAGAAAATAGTAGTGGGAGAGGAACAGGAAGGAGACTTTCAAATAATAAAGGACTGTGAGACATATCAACATGGCTCTGAATGGACTCTTTCAGATCTTTAATATTATCACTCAATGACTCATAATTCCTGCACTATACCTATTTTCTAAAGATTTATTTATTTATAATGTATACAGTGTTCTGCCTGCGTGCATGCTTGCATACCAGAAGAGGCACCAGATCTCATTACAGATGGTTGTGAGCCACCATGTGGTTGCTGAGAACTGAACTCGGGTCCTCTGGAAGAGCAGCCAGTGCTCTTAACCTCTGAGCCATCTCTCCAGCCCACTATACCTATTTTGTTGTTTTGTTTTGTTTTGTTTTTTGTTTTTCCAGACAGGGTTTCTCTGTGCATCTTTGGAGCCTTTCCTGGAACCTGTTTTGTAGACCAGGCTGGCCTCGAACTCACAGAGATCCACCTGTCTCTGCCTCCCAAGTGCTGGGATTAAAGTCATGTGCCACCACCACCTGGCTCACTATACCTATTTTTAAAACTGCATTTGTAATTAAAAATCTTCTCCCAAAGAAAAACTTAGGCCCAAGTGACTTCATGTGTGATCTCCATTAAGCGCTTGAGAAAGAAGAGGAGGTGGAGATACTTTTCATTTATGGGGGCTCAGCATCATTCCTATTTGAAAACTGAACATGGACATTAAAATAAGACTGTAAGTCAATATCCTGTACAAACAGACACAAAAATCCCTAATGTAATATTACCAAATTGAATTGAGCAGTACTTAAAATGGGTAATCCATCATGACTAGGAGAAGTTTATCCCAGAAATATAATGAATTTGGGCTGGAGAGATCAGCTGTTAAAGGCTAGGCTCACAACCAAAATTATAAGAAATGTAATTGATTTAACATTTATAGAATAAATCATAAAATCATAAAGAGATCATTTACTTTTATTTACTTATTTATTTACATAAATACTTGGTTTTTTGCTTTTGTTTTGTTTTTTTTGAGGCAGCTCTTGCTATATAGCTCCAGCTCGCCTGAATATCACAATCCTGCCCCTGCTCCCCAGTGCTGAGATGACAGGCATATGCCAGGAAGGAAAGAACAGTTTTCATTGAACAGCGTTAACAATTAAGTCATCAAAAAATGAACCTCAGCTCCTACCATATATTACATATAAAATGAACTTAAAAAAAAAAACCTAGTCACAAAAGCTAAAACTACAAAATATCTAGCAGAAACTATGGAAATTCTTTGTGACTTAGAACTGAGAAAAACCCTACATACTGGCCTTCACCAAGTTTACAGTGTCGATTTTCAGAACAGTGTTTAAAGAAAAGTACAGGAGAGAAAATATTCACAATACTAACTCATAAAGATTTTTAGCCAGTATTAGTTAGAAAACTGAGTAAGGAAACCAAAATTTAAAATGGAGAAATTTGAACATACCCTTCTCCCCAAAAGATGTCAAGGAAGCCCATGAAAACCAGCATCAGGGACTGGGATGCAGGCCATCTGGAAGTGTTTACCTACCCTGGCTTCAGTCCCTGGCACCATGTAAACCAGGTGTGATGGTCCACAGCACCTACAATCCCAACACTTGCAAGGTGGAGAAAGGGAGATCAGTAGTTCATCCTTAACTACACAGCCAATTCAAGGCCAGCTTAGCCAGGATACGGGGAAGATTATGTCCAAAAAAAGAAAAAAGGAAGAAGAGCAGGGAAATGAATACTCAGGACAAA